TTTATTTATTTATTTATTTCAGTATATATACTATATGATGAAATACTATTTAGTCATTATAAAAAAAAGAAAGAAATCCTTTCATTTGCAAAATTATAAATGGACCTTGAGGTCATTATGTTAAGTAAAATAAATCATAAAGAGGCATGGTAAAGGAATGGGTAAAATGCATGAAGTAGGTCAAATATAAAAAGTTTCAGTTATAAATAAATCATAAAGAATTTAATATCTATTATTGTGTATTTGAAAGTTTCTAAGAGAGTAGATCTTTGAAGCTTTCATTACAATAAAATAATTTCTTGTAATTATGTGTGGTGACAGATGGTGATGGTTTCTGAATATATACAAATGTGAATTCTTATACTGTACATCTGAAACTAATAAAATATCTTATTTTAATTATACTTCAATGAAAAAGGGATAGTCTTACTATTGTTATCTCACTCCAAAGAGTTAGCAAACATTTGAATTATTTTAAATTATTTGTTGGATGTAGGACAGTTTCCTTGAATGGAACATAGAGGGCACTAGCCATATCTGAGATACACTTAAGTAACTATTAGAATATGGTTGTAACAACATTGACATGAAGTATATTATTAAAATTCAAAATATTGTGAGAATACATATTAAAAGATTATGGTCTATTCACGGTGTCTTTGGTGAGACTATGAGGGGTAAATAATGTTGGTTAGGAAAAGATATTGGAGTGGGAAATGTTTCAAGCACAGCCGACAAACAAGCTGACCACAGAAATCATTTGAAAATTTTGACTTGTTCCTAAGAATAATGGAAAACAATTTAAAGGTTTTAGGAAGTGCAGTCACATGGTTCTGATATATGTTCATTTATCATCTCACACTTTCAAGCAGCCATACAGCACCCCCATGGAGTTCATGCTGATCATGGAGAATTCTAACACTTCTCTAACTTAGAAGTTTAATACTATTTGCTGAGGTAAGTCACTAGAATTTCCATGCAAGTCAGAAACACACAGGTAGATGGTAAGTAAATGCCCATTATCTTGGATTAGGAAAAACACAAAACATAGTGAAAACCTCAAGTCAATCCTAAGGGACATAATGGGAATTTGGCAAGTTAAGAGGATTTGTCTTGTTTTCAGAGATCTGTTCTTGTTGACATCTTGTTCCTTTTGTATCAGTCACCCCTAGAAGATTAATGGGAATAGTGTGAGCAAAGTTCAAGGGGGGGAAGGGGGATAAACCAATTAATAAAAAGAAATCACATAGCTCAGGATTAACCAATGATTACCACTCAATCAAATTACATATATCTTTCTTTCTTCCTTTTTGTTCACTAAGATTTAACAATATTAATGGAGTCTGTGGCAAGCACACCAGAAGACTCCATCCCCCAAATGTTGTTTTTAATTACTTTCAATTGGTAATTTTTGAGCTGTCATAGCAAAACACTTCTTGGGTATTACCAAGTATTGTGGCAAATTTCAGAGAGAACCAGCCTGCTAGGTCAAATAGCAGCCGCCTGTAATTTTCTTTATTAGAAATACAATCATAAATAAGAAAAGCAATTTAGAGAGCTGAGCTGGTCCCATTCATCCTTGCCCAGGAAGACCTGACCGGTAAATCCAAAGGCCCACCTGGCAGCAAGATAAGTGAGATCCTCTTCGCATGACCCCCCATCCCCACCCACATGGTCTCCTATGCAATTGAAGGAGGAGAACATTCCAATCTCCCTCAAGATCTTTTTGGAAATTAGCTTTGCCACTGGTCTGATGCTTAAGCTGCTTCTTTTCTGTCTAACAATTATTTACTTTGAATTTTGCAAGCCAAATATTTTCTGAGACCATTGGAAATTGGACCGTGATTTATCCCAATGATGAAGGATAAATCCTGCCCTGTTGACAACTGGCCATTACTGAAGATATCTCTTCTTGTCTTTGGTTTATTGTATGTCAAATCTATCTAGGACAGGCTATCAGGGAGAAGACTGGGTTCTTCTGGGAAGTACAGCTACTCTGAGTCAGACAGAGATAAGGAGTGCTTCCAAGTTCTCTTCCCTCTCTGTACTTCGTTCTTTCTTTACCTTCTACTCTGTTTGATCTCCCCCATTCCAATACTACTGTACATCCTTCAATCTTCTAAGAGCTTCCATGCATCCCTGACACATCAGAGGAATCACAACAAACAGGCATGCCACATCCTTCAATCTTCTAAGAGCTTCCATGCATCCCTGACACATCAGAGGAATCACAACAAACAGGCATGCCTCATCAAGCACACAGGGAACATCAGGGTACATCAGGGAACACAGCTGATCCAGAGCTGAACAGAGCTGGTGCAGGACAACCATCACTTAGATGGGCCAGTAGGCATTCTTGTTTTCAGCCATGAGGCACTCTTCTGTTTTCAGAGGCAGAAAGGTCCCATGAGTACTTTGCCAGGGATGCCTTGGGTAAAGATGACAGGTCCAATGACATGTAGACCACTTCTAAGGGAGTAGGAATATGGAATCCTAGTCAGTTAGATTAGCCTGGCTCTTTAATATTAGGGATTTAAGTTCACTGTAAGAAGAGCTTTCTACCATGCTGAATCTCTGGTGAGAGCCATTCAGGATATGTGATATACTCTACCCTTGATGACAGTCTAAAATAGGAACTAACTCATCTTTAGAGACAGACAGATCTGGATAGTAATCTCAGCTCTGTGATTTATAAATATATGTCATGTTGGGCAAATCACTTGACCTCCCTGAGATTCATCTTGTCCCCTAAATGGCACTGAGAAATGAGATTACATGAAATCAATTCAGTCTTTCTGGGTGAAGAACCCCATTTTCATAGCTATCTTAAGAAGAATCATTATTTGATGAACTACCAATATTCACTAGGCTCTGTATGTTATCTCTAATCATAATGTGCAAGCTAGGAAAACATCATTTGCTCCTTAAAGGCCAAAGCTCGTGACTTGATGATAGGAAATCCGTGGCAATTACAATTGAGATGGAAAAAAAAAAAAAAAGAAAAAATGTACAAAATGAACTGTTATATAATAAATAAATAAATAAATAAATAAATAAATAAATAAATAAATAAGCAAATAAATAATAAAGGCAAAAAAAAAAAAAAAAGGCCAAAACTCATGCTCCAGATCTATTCTATTTTCTAATGTATCAACTCAGACTCAAATATATGACTAGGGGTGGGCTCTAAAACCCAATGAAGGGGACAGGCAATGCTCACCTGGGGTCACCACTGGCCACAGAGGCAAGTGGGGGCTTAGAGATGCAACAAAATCTTATCCTTGGAGATCCAAGTGTTTTCCTTTACTTGGGCTGAGGCAATTAGAAACTCCCTCACTTCCTCCACTCTCAAAAACAACTAAAGTAGTAAAAGTAACAGCCCTACTCCTTGAGTATAGGTAGCATTCACCAGAGTTTGGACTTTTTTTTTTTTTTCTCATTGATGCCTGAAAGAAATGATCCCATGAGGCTAACACTGATTTTGATAATGGGAACCCAGGCTTAAGGAAAATCAAACAACCTGCCAAAGTCAGAAGAGTAAATGATGAGTCCAAGATATCAACTCCGGCATATTTCAGAGCCCACATTCACCCCATTGCTGTCGTAAATGTTATGGAGTTTTCACTAATTACTTCTTATACATTTAAAACATTTTTATTCTATCCATTGCTACTGTATGGATTTTGTTATTTCTGGTTATTTTACAGTAATCACAACCTATTTATAAAACCCTATAGCTATAACCCCACTGTAGAAAAAATGTGGTGGTAATAATTCCACCTCACTCCTAACCCTAAAAGTTATGTAATATTCTCAGTCAGCCTCAGTTCTCTTCCAGGTGGGAATTTATCTACAAGTAATGATGGAAAAAAGATGCTCTGTACAATGTGAACTCCAATCTCCCACAAATAGAGGTTTCCAGGCACTGTTGAACACACCTACCTTATGACAGTTTGCTTGTTGGGGTCATAGAGAGACATAAAGAGTTCAGCATCTTCTCCAATTCTGCACACAAAATTCCTCACGAAGACATAGAGACTGTGGGTAGGAGATGAGGAAATTCGGGAATACATTCCATAATCTGGCTGGTTTTTGCACTAAGAGATGAAAAGAAGATAGGAAAATGAAGACAATTAGCCCAGGACCACTAAGGACAACAGAAAGATATTCCAGGGAGTCATCTAAGTTCCACAGATTATGGCATTACACCCAACTCAACCACCAAAATTTCTGCATTCTGAGCTAAATCACCTTGATTTTCTTGACCCTGATTTTTCCACCTGTGAAACTATTAGCAACGACCCAGTCTTTCTTATAAAGTTAGTGCCATAAGAGTCACAAACTATTTAAAAATGCTTAAATGAATTTCATCAATACTAAAAATTTTTGTTTTTTTAAAGACACATTCAAGAGAATGAAAAGCTCAGGCATAGGCTGGGAAAAAATGATTTTTAAAACATTTATCTGACAGCATTTTTATCCAAAATATAGTCTTATAATTCAATGATAAGAAAATCAATCCAATTAAAACAGGCAAAATATTTAAGGAGATACTTCACAAAAGAAGATACAAAAGACTATGTTTGGTAAGCTCAACATCACTAGTCATTCTGGGAAATGTAAATTCAAACCATAACAAGGTACCACTACACAATCATTATGACAACTAAAGTTAAAAAACTGACAATACCGGTCCTCCCTGGTGGCACGGCAGGTTAAAGCACAGCACTGAGAAGCTAAAGCCACTTCCACATAAGTTCGATTCCCGCCTGCCCCAGAGGTGACCACATGGCATGGCAGACTTCTCCTGACCCGCCTGCTGCTGCCCTCAGCAGTGTACTTCGTCTATCTGCCTGTTCTGTTCCCCACTCTGTCTCTGGTGAAGCCTCTCGCCACCCCTGAGCCTCTGGCCTGTACCCCAGTTCTGTATGCACAAATAAATAAATTAAAAAAAAAAAACTGTCAATACCAAAAAATGGGGCTTTCATATTACCCAGCAATCCCACTCCTAGGTATCTACCCAAAAGATACAAAACACTGATTCAAAAAGACACCTGCATCCCCGTGTTTACTGCTGCTTTATTTACAATAGGAAAGACATGGAATTAACCCAAATGTAAAAAAGTAGATAACTGGATTAAAAAGATGTGGTACATATACACAACAGATTATTACTCGGCAATCAGAAAAAATAAACTCATGCCTTTTTGCAGTAACATGGATGTAGCTGGAAGGGATCATGCTTAGCGAAATAAGCCAGAAAGAAAAAGAAAAATACCAATGGTTTCACTCATAACAGGAGCATAAAGGACTGGAATGTGTGTGTGTGTGTGGGGGGAAATAATAGTAATGAACAACTATATACCAGAGACATTTTACGGGGGTGGAGTGGGGAATGAGATAAAAAATGGGGTGGGGGAGGGGGAAGTGCACTGGACTATGGTGATGGCACAGGGTGATTTTGTGATGGGAAGCCTACGGGGATTACAACTAAGAAGAAAAAGACATAGAATGATATAAAAATAAGCTATTATATTATTTTTTTTTAAAGATTGACAATACCAAGTGTTGGAAAGAATATAATGCAATGATAGCTTACAAAATGCTGATGGGAATCCAAAATTACACAATCATTTTGGAAAAAGAATGGCAATAAATTAAAAAGTTGAACATACAACTTATATGCTGTAGCAATTCTTTTGCTAGGTGTTACACAAAAAGAATGAGAATATTTGTTCATAAAAGATAGACATGCAACTGACCTTAATGAAATCTTAACAACATAGGAAACAAATCCAACAACATCATGGCATATCAATTCAGCATTAGACCAATGCACAAAGATCCTAATTTATAGTAGTTTAACTAAAAGTTGATTGAGATTGAATTTTGAAGAATGACCTTTTGGAATCATTGTTTAAAGAAAATTTTAATAAAGGACAATATAGTGTAGAAATTTCCCTTTTAAACAAATGTACTGGATAACAACAACCCACTGGGTTAGAAACTCATTACAAGGTTTCTAAGCATCAGGTAGAAAACTGAAAAGCATTTTCTTTCAAGTCAAAAGAATAATTAAAAACATACACAGGGCCCTTCCTGATGGCGCCAATGGGTTAAAATGCAATACTATGAAGCTATTGCAACCACTGCAGCAGAAGTTCTATCCCTAGCCTGGGAGCTGACCCACATGGCTAACTTGACTTCTCCTGACCTGTCTGCTGCTCCCTTCAGCAGTGTATTTCAGTAGATCTGCCTGTTCTGCTCCCCACTCTGTCTCTGGTGAATCCTTTCATCCTCTGCACCACTGGTCTGTACCCCAGTTCTTGTATGCATAAATGAATAAATCTCCATCAAAAAAACATACACAGAAGTGGAGGTGTTTTTTGATTAATTCAATCAGGGATTTTATCACTCCCTACAATGCCTCTCCCAGATAATAATCAGTTATATAACACGGGCCTCAAAAATACTATGCTGAATGAAAGAAGTCAGAGAAAACCTAAATCTGTATTATTATCTAAAACTCTAGAAAAGGCAAATTCTAGTCATAGAAAGCAAATTAGGGTTTACCTGGGGTTTTGGGCTGGAAAAGAGACTGACTACAAAAACAAAACAAAACAAAACAAACAAACAAAAAAAAAAAACAGGAGAAAACCATTTAGGGTGGGATGGAATGTTCCGTGTCTTTATTCTGTCTTGGTTTACTTAACCTAAATATTAGCAAAATTTGTTAATTTGTTAGTAAACTGTAAATGAAAAAAAGTTTGAAATGAATAAATTTTTATGATAAACTACATCCAAATCACTAAAAATAGTTTTACTTTCAATTAATATATGGTGAATAAAATTAATTTTTAAAATACAAATCAGGGCTCTCCCTGTTGACACAAGTTAAAGCGTCACATTATGAAGCTCTCCGAAGCCATTGCAGCACGAGTTCAATCCCTGGCCAGGTAGCTGACCCATATGGCGCGGCAGACCTCTCCTGACCCGCCCACTGCTCCCCTCAGCAGTGTAATTTGTCAATCTGCCTGTTCTGCTCCCCACCTGTCTCTGGTGAATCCTTTCACCCACCAACCTCTGGCCTGTACCCCGGTTCTGTAAGCATAAATAAATAAATCTTTAAAAAAATACAGATCAGATTATGTTAACCCTTTCTTAAACTCTTTCATTGCCTTCCTGGCACACTTAGAACATCTTAGCTCTTTTCCATGTCCCTGCATATATTATAAGAGCTGGTTACTGCTACCTACAATTTACTTTGAGGCCCCCTTTTAATCATTGCCATTCCCACTGCTTATGTTTCTATCTCCATACTGTCTTCTGTATATCTTGAACAGTCAGAACTCTGACCTATCTCCCGGACCTTTGCACTTGCTGTTTCCTCTGCCGTTGAATACCCTGTCCCTGTGTCACTCATGAACAAAGCCTTTCCTGATGGTGCCTTTTTAAGTAACCCTACTTCACTATGATTCAGATAAACTTGGGTTTATTGCTTTTAAGTAATGTTATCACCATCTGGAATTAATTTGTCCTTTTATTTGCTTACTTTTTGACAGGCTCTCTTCTCTCTTCCCATCTGGTAAATAAAGCTCTGTGAGAGCGAGAAATTTGCCTAGCATTAAACTACCTGTGGGATGGATGCTGAATGGATTACAGTTCTGAGCACAAAAAAACAAACAACAAAAAAAAAGCAGTAAAATGCATGTGGTTAATAATCATCTCAGGTCACAGGACAGATGTACTCTTGAATAATATACAGTCTGGCTAATTAGCCCATTATCTCCAGTTTATGATGTGTTAAATGCCTGCTTTGCTTGGACAAAGTCTATTTCACTAAGCTCACCATTTCTTCCTTGATACGCTCTGTGATTTTATCAGTTGCTTCTTCATGTGCATGGAATAAGCTGATAACACTGGTATTGTCAGGGTCCAAGATATTCCCATCTTCATCTCTGACAATCAGATCAAGTTCAAGGATCCTGAAAAGCAAAAACAGAAGTGGAGGAAAATCAGAATTTGTTGAATGATTTGGATATCGGCAAGTATTTTTTTACTAGAAAGTTCATCTGATTTCTGTGGGTCATACATGCCCAAAGAGCAGCTCCACACTGACAGCCTCACACTCAGCTATGAGTTGCATTGCCATAACTCAGTCTCTTTGGGAAGTAATTGTGGCAGTACATATTAAAAAACATTTAAATGTGCATTTCCTGTGATGCCGAGGTACACCACACTTTAACAGGGATGTGTTTTTTGAAGCATTGCTTGCTTCAGCACTTCACAACACAACACTTCCCCCAAAGGGGGAAGGCTAGATAAATTTGTCTATGATGGAATTCCATTTGGAGACTTTTAAAAATATGACATCATTTTGAATTGTTCAGTGACGTATCTCAATGAAAACTACCAAATATGGAAAGATATACAAAGTGGTTTTTTTTTTTATATTTTTTACAATTTATTTTTGCATAGACCAACTGAGGTGTAGACCAGAGGTACAGTGGGAGGACTTTTCAGAGACAGAGTGGGGAGCAGAACAGGTGTATTTACTGAAATATACTGCTGAGGGGATCAGCAGTGATAGAACTCAGATGGCAGCACCGAGACTCAACCCCTAGGCCACCAGGGAAACTCCTCAGACAGTGTGTTTTATATTATAAAAACAAAAAGCCAGATATGTCATCTGTATGCATGTACACAACTAACAATGAACAGAGAAAGATCTGTATTAAAAGCACCAAACTACCAATATGGGCACCTATGAAAATAGGCAGAGCCCTGGGACCTGGAGAGTAAAGGAATAAAAGGAGACATATGCTTATCTCAATTTGCTTAATACTAACATAACATAGCATAATATATAATATAACATAACATAACATAATATCAGATAAGTTATTCCTGTATTATTTATTCAATTGCAATTTGATAATAGTTATGGAAGACTGGAAATCTCAGATACATTGATTGTTCTTCCCTCTTTAGCATTGATTTCTTTCAACTCCCTTTGCCATTCTAATTGGCACAATTGACACGAATAACATCATACACACAGCATGTGTGATAAGCTCATATACAGTGAATGTCTCACATATATTCATCCACTTAACCCTTATAACAAGCCTAGGAGGCGGTACTATTAGTATTTGGTTTTTTTGTTTTGTTTTGTTTTTAAGATTTATTTATTTGTGCATACAGAACTGGGGTACAGGCCAGAGGCTCAGGGGGCAGTGAGAGGCTTCTCCAGAGACAGAGCGGGGAGCAGAACAGGCAGATCGACAAAGTATACTGCTGAGGGGAGCAGCGGGCAGGTCAGGAGAGTTCTGCCACGCCATGTGGTCACCTCCAGGGCAGGTGGAAATCGTACTCATGCAGAAGCGGCTTTAGATTCTCAGCGCTGTGCTTTAACCCACTGCGCCACCAGGGAGGGCCTAGTATTTGTTTTTTTACAGATGAATAAAATGAGGATAAGGGGGATAATTTAGTAAAAAAGTAATAAGCTTCCTATTTTGCGCTCTTAACTTCCATAATAGAGTTTCTAGACAGGGGACATTTAGGAGCTGAGTTGGCTGGGAAGTGGGGTAGGTTTACAAAGGCCTACACTTGAAGCTTGTTTTGCACTTCATATTGATATGGAAGACTTCAGCTTATCCATGAAAAAATATCCATTAGAGGCAGCTAATGGAGTCTTGGAGATAGCCAACAGAGATCTTTCTTGATCATCACTACCAAGAACAAGATTCTGCAGCAAGGACAAATGAAGGAGACAAAGTTTTTATCTCTTGAGAATCAGATTGAGAGGCACATTTCTCATCTCATTCAAATGCATTCCATAGGGAACCAAGGTTCATCTGTTTGTCCACATTCATTAAGAAATTAACTTCCAACTAGATATGACTCAATGTTGCACAGCTATGCGGCCCACAGGAAGGTGCTGCAGGGATAAATACATTTGACTAATGCTGAGCAGAGGCTCATGTGACCTCAGAAAAGATGGATTATAGGTGATATATAATTTAATGCCAAGAGCTTTCTAGCTCTTTCTCTTCAAAATGTATCAAAGTGGATTTGGTTGTCTGAATAAAATATTCTCCAAACTCCCCGAGGATTTGGAGAAGTCACTGAGGACTCTTCACCCCTTGGATATCTAAGAGTTTATCCATTATCAGTCTCACTTGGAAATCTGACCATTTTAGTAATCACAGGGCAGAACTGAGGGAACTCCCACAACCCAAGTTCAGGAGAAGCTGCAGGCCATTTATTTTGAAGCATTGGTATTAACATTTTTATTTTTCTTTCTTTCTTTATATATATATTTTTACATCATTCTTCATTTTGCACATTTTTTTCATCTCATCTGTAACCCCTGTGGTCTCCCCACCACCAATTCACCCATAGTGACATCTTTCACTGGAGGAAGCCTGAGAGTGCTCTCTTCTGATCACGAAATTGATAAATGAACCTAAGAGGAGGATGGGGGCAGGTGTGTGTGTGTGTGTGTGTGTGTATGACTGATAGCTATAAAGTTGTTGTCATCACTATTTTACTACTGGATCACCCTGCTTCAAAGATGGTTTCATATTATCCTTAGCTTCCCAGCATTCAAATTATGACCAATTTCTCTTCCTCCTTTTTGAAATGTGTTTGTAGCTGTTCATATGAGTTAATGATGGCATGTGGCTTGGATAATTAAGGGTGGGGTTGTGACATTAGGTCTCACAGTGGGACTTACAGGAGAGTTTTGTAAATGCAGTAATAAAATGACAACTAAGCTGAAGTGAACCAGCATGACTTGTGCTCTCCAGGCCTTTGAAAATAGGTTAAATGAGTGCCCTAAATCTCTCAGCCTAGTAATCACCACTGCAGAAGCAAGCATTCTCTCCATTTGTATGTTCTTGATCCCATGAAGGTGAGAGTAAAGGCACACTAGCATGATCTTTGGTAACAGTTTTCTCCTAAATTGAAAGTGCCATCCAAAAATGAAACTAGTCTTCTTGGGAAGAAAAGAAGGAAGTGGGAGGGTAGAGAAAAAAGGATCCCTTAGAAAACGTGGTTACTTGTTGCCATAGTCAATCTTGGATGTGACTTTCTGCTTCAGTTCCTTCAGCTCATCTTTGGGCAAAGTTCCTGAGAGGAGCTGGGACCGCCACTCCATCAGGTCACACATCATGGACTGCACCTGGAGGAAACGCTCCTTTTTGCTTGCCTAAAAGACAGGGAAGAACCTGTAATCAACTCTGCCCACAGTGCTTGGACATCTATTTGTCAAACCGTGCCAAAGTCAGGAGGGCATTCTCAGGGATCACAGCCTGGGTTTCTCTCCAACTACAAAGGGATTGAAAGTTGATTAGCATTGACATACTTAATCCCTTCCCCCTGCCCCCCCCCACACACCCTGGTGCCACAGCAAAAGTTATAATCTCATTCACTTCTTGGTTACAGACTGTTCTCTGAAAAGATACTTGCTAAGCATGAATGCCATGAACATCGGTTGCATGCAAGTCCTGGAACTTAAGTCCTTAAAAGTCTCTTACCTTTCATTTACTGGTGGTAAGGCCTATTTCCAGGGCAGTGTTGCCTTAAGTGTGACAAGCCCCAAAGGGCACAGACAAAAGATCAAATGCTATGGACCTATGTCTTGATTCTCTTCCATCCTCCTTCCACCTACCTTCTCAATGGAAAAAGAAAGTTGCAGTTTCATGATAATATGTCTTTCATCCCTTTGAGGTCTCTGGCTCAGAGTTTTTGACAAGTACTATAGCAAGCATTTTAATAACAGTCTCTTACTTTCACTGTATTAATTTGATAAAGTTCTGCTAATAGTTCCAAGTAGTTTTGGCTTTCTCTTTAGGAACCATTTATGGAATAATGAAATTACATATACTTGGTATTTGTCCCTGCTTCTGGACATAAAGCTCCTAAAATCCTTAGAATATCTTGAGTAATAAAAAGTGCCTTTTCTTATTATCATGAGGCTCTTTCAACCAAACCTGAATTCATACTAATGAGCTGGCTTTTGGTCAGTCCACTTGAGAGCTTCTAAAGTCAGGGACTGAGTTTTTAAACCCTAATCCTTTCAAATCCCCTACCCCCAACCTCAGAGGAAATGGACTAAATATTGAACTTATCTGCCAATGGCCACTAATTTAATTAATCAAGACTATCAAATGAAACATGCATAAAAACTCTTGAACACAAATCCCAAGTAACTTCCCAAATAGTCATATGGATGTTCTGAGCAGGTGGTATGACTAGAAAAGGTACGGAAGCTCTGTGCCTCCACCTCCAGTACCTTCTATGTATCTCTTATTTGACTGTGAGTTGCATCTTTTTTTTTTTATTATTCATTTTATTTTTATTTTTTTTTAAAGATTTATTTATTTGTGCATACAGAGCTGGGGTACAGGCCAGAGGCTCAGGGGCGGCGAGAAGATTCACCAGAGACAGAGTGGGGAGCAGAACAGGCAGATCTACGAAGTACACTGCTGAGGGGAGCAGCGGGCGGGCCAGGAGAGGTCTGCCACGCCATGTGGTCACCTCCGGGGCAGGCGGGAATCGAACTCATGCGGAAGTGGCTTTAGCTTCTCAGTGCTGCGCTTTAACCCACTGCGCCACCAGGGAGGGCCGTGAGTTGCATCTTTTATAATAAAACTGTAATTGTAGTGGTATAGTGATTCCTGAGCTTTGTGAGTTTTTTCTAGGGAGTTATAAAACCTGAATTGGAGGTGGGATGGAATTTGTTAACACTTTTGAAGAGAAGTGTGAGTAGTTAAGAACACAGAACTGAAAAGAAAGCAGTATTGCAGGGATGAGCCCTGAACACAATGGTTTCTGACACTAACTCTAGATAGTCTGTATTAGAATTGAGTTATAGGGCAACCAGTTGCTATTAGTGAATTAAAGAACTGTTGAAATGACACTGTATGCAACAAAATTCTTTATGAAAATCACTTAAGGTTATTCCAAAGGGAGCTAAGTTATTAAGTCAATATTTTACAGGTGATATGTAGATGTGGCAAGAATGATAAAGATGATACTGGAATGTAAGAAGTTTAAGAATCCCTTTACCATAGAAAAGAGCATGATGACTGCATGCAAAGATTCCTTAAGGGAAAATGTCAAGCTTCCATGGTACATGTGATATGATTTGAAGGGGAGGTAGGGCAAATGAACACTTATATTATTATTTGGTCCCTAAACTTTCTTAACACCTTTTGAGAAACTTGTATAATTAGATGTTCCAGTTACCATTTTTAGAAATGTTTGTACATGACAGCCAAAATTCATGACCTAAAAGGTGAGTCTAGAATAGGTTTGTATGCCAGCAAGTGCTGTAACAAGTGTGCAGAAAATCTTGGTTGACATTTTTACTCTCAGCTTAATGATTTTCTTAGCTAATTGCTTTCATTAGAAACTTTAGAAGCATCAAAGGAGTATTTAAAATTAGACTCGCTTCAACACAGGGAATGCATGGAAAATACACGTTTTGTTTTTCCAGGGTCAAAGCTTCCTCAAAGATGTGAGGAAATCCATTATTTAATTAATATATAAGAACAGTATTTTGTAAGGTGTTATCAGCAAACCACCAATTCAAGCCCTCACTAATGTGAATTAGTGAGTCTCACTGAAGGAAACTTTATTTTTTAAATATCTTTCAAGGTGATTTTTATACATATTCAAGTTGGCCAAAATTTGCAAAACAAACTTTGCCAAAAAAAAAAAACAAAACTATTCACGGTGGTTGTCATTGTGTGGTTTCAAGAAAGTCACCTAACTACCCTGGGCCTTGATATCCTCATAAGTAACATATTCTACTCTGTCACCAAAACCACCTTAAACTGTCCTGAACAAGACTAAATGTTAAGCCTGAACTAAACTGAAGATTCCAAGAAGCTTCTATCTCAAGTAATAGGGTTTTAAATCTTACCACATAGAGCTGTTTCCAGATGCTGCCCCATTCCCAAAGTGTTGTTGTCACTTCTTGCGCCAGAGGAATTTCTGCAGGGATGATGTTCTCAATATTTCTACTTAAGGCAGGAGAGAAAATAGCATGAAATTGAGACCCAGGTGCTAACAAGATAAAATGTTGGCAGATTTGCATTAAACTACAGCTGCTGAGAGGGGCTTTGTTGGCTTGAAACTGAACTGCCTCCAGTAACCACACCAATTACAAATGATGCAAATGATGGGACTCCTTTTTAATGTCCTCCCTCACTAGGGTGGACCCTCTGTACTCATTATTGAGGATTAAACTCATACAGTTCAAAGGCAGAGAAAAGTTTGATTCTCCAAACCTGCTAATACAGCCTCAGAATCAGATCTGAACACAAATCAATTTGCATTAGATCTCCCTTTGAGTGAGAAAAGGAGACACACAAATAAACATGGGCATAAAGATGGGTCAGATGAGCATCTTTCACATCTGTCAAGTCGGGTTTTCAAAGTAAACAGGACAGAGACATCCGTGAACCACTAGAGGGTCAAGTCTGGCAAGGAATGGCAAATACCTTTTTTTCTCAATTGTCACTTCCTTGATGTGGATGAAAGATTTAGGAAAAATGCCCTGTTGGAATAGGATAAGATAAAACAGAACAATAAATAAAGTAATAAAATAAAATGTTCATCAGAAATACCTGACCCCAGGTCTTCATTATTTTTTAAAATCTACTAAGTGCAAAATCTTAAAATTTTAAAGGAATGATTCAGAATCGGAAAGAGAAGGAGGTGAATCATGATTCTACTCATTTAGGTATAGTTTCCATTCAGTTCTCCCGCAATGCCTAGAGATCTCATAATACCCCTGCATTCCAGGAACAATCAATGCATAGAAATCTCATAATACCCCTGTATTCCAGGGTATGTTCAGCCCATATTCATTCAATCAGGGTACAAAAGGGAGCACTTGAAAGATAGCACTCTGCTTCTCCACTTTTCTGCCCAATTCCTGGGAAGAAGTCACTCTTATATTCACAAACAGCTATAAAATCAGACATGAAGCAACAGTGTCCCTGACTGTACATGGGACATCTAAATTTGAGACCTATTTTTCCCTGGATTACTATTGTACATCAAAGAGCTGAGTAGGATCATGCTTTCTAACACAGCATGTCAGGGCGTTACATAGACATCTCAAGAGGAAAAAGAAGAAATGTTTATTACTTCTTTGTTTCATAAAAAAGGCTTGCTTGAGAAGTATATTGATTACTTGGGATTTCCTTCATTAATTCAATCAACATACACACGGGGAATATCCAATCAGTCCCTGGACTAGTGACCATGTGTGATCAAGAGAGGAGCAAATAGCTCATGGAGATGAAGGTGTAATATGGGACTGGAACAAATAAAACACCAAGAGGAAAGATTGGACCTGTCTTTTCTATGTCAGATTGGAGTTATAAGTGATGGAATGATGAAGCCCTCAAATAACTCTAAAGGACGGCAGGGGATAAAACTTTTTACATGGTAAGGTAAATGTACAATTCCATAGGGACTCCAGAAGGAGCAACCACATGTGACTGGTATGTTGGGAAAAGTTCAGGAAGAAACAGCTCTAGAGATCAGCCTTAAGAATGATTGAAAGGGACTGGCATTAAGGCACATCTAGGACAGGGAGTAAAGGTGGAAAAGCACAGACATTATGAGGGAAGACCATCTGTTGAGAAGGAATGATGGAAAATATGTCCATGTAAAGACATCCAGTATTGTCCCCAGTAAAAGCAAATCGACCTTACCTGTAAAATTTTGTCCTTTATGAGGTATCCCCTATACCAGTCTGCAAAAAGAAAACAAAAGAACAAGTTGCTTAATTATTCTGACAAGCGTGTTCCTGCTTTGTCGTTGTTCCATCTATTTGTTTGTAACTTGCAAAGAAACACCTCAAAAAGAAATAAGATTCATATAAAATGTATGTTTCCTTTGTTTGAAAAAGCAGACATACCAGTGATGGTGGCCAGTTCCCACCCCCCTTCTCTCCCTGTTCCCACCACTACATTTAGCTTGTGCTGAAGAGCAATGACTTCCAACAGACAGGTGCCTGTAATTCACCAACCCCTACCCAGGGTTTGGACTATCTCCATTACCTGCCTGAGTCCAGTGTTTCACTGCATATTTTCAAACACTGTCTGAGGGACATAGAACAGCTGAGGTTTTGACAAATATGCTAAAATAATAACCATTCTGACAGCATCAAATAGTGTCTAAAATGTGATTTACAGAAGTTAATCATTATAAAACAAGTTTGGGGATAAGTTAAAGGATGGTGGGAATTTGAAAAGATTCTTTATTGTAGTCATATCAAAAATGATTCAATTAACAGAAATTCAAATCACACACAATCCTCTGACAAAACTAACCTCAGTGTAGCAAGTGTTGATGACTGTTATGAGTCCACTGGCCTCTGAAATGATTCAAGCAAAGCCAAATAGAGGCATTTGTCATCTTTGTAAATAAAAAATAGTCTGTCATGGAGCGTCATTAGCAAACCCTCATTACTGGACTGACAGCTTTTTGTCAAAATTTGTTCTCAACAGACATATATGCAATCCCCCAAAACAATTTGAAATGCAAAGCCACCCCTCATCATCATGAGCATGCTTGAGGGCTTGGTCTTAAATAAAGTTCTAGAGGAATAGGAGCCCGCAATATCTCTTATTTGAGAGACAGAAAGTGGAAAGTAAGAAAAGGGAAAACAGAAAGAAAGGAAAAAAAGTTGAAAAGAAATAACCTCAAGTTTGGAACAAACCTGGAATAAATATGCACTTTTCTTATATGAAGCCTTTTTAATCTTCATGAAATCATGTAAATATAGGAAATGTATTCTACCATTTTATAGATGTGTGCTCTGTCTGAGTCAGAGAGATTAAATGACTGATAAAGTTCACACAGCTAGTAAGTAGCAGTGTCCTTGAATGTAACCTTGAAGGCTTCCATGTTCCTAGAACTTAGATTCACTCCTGAGCAAAGCATCCACAGTCTCTTACCCCCTGTATCAATATGCTGACTCCCAGAGGCAAGCTCAACCTGCCCTGATTGTGCACTTAGCATGTGCATGACACTGGACAAGGTACTTTCAGAAGTAAACCCCTAGCGAACCTGTGTGGGAAGGAAAACTCTTAATTCACATACAATTCTTCAACTACCTAAAGCCATCTAACAGACTTCTAAACATTGTATTCAAAGTGTTCATGAACCTAGCAATCATGAATCAAATTCATATGTCAGCTCTTTCCAAGAAGGTATTATGTATTGTTAGCACAAGGATAAATTAAATAAAATAGAATTTGAAACAGAAAACAAAAAGTTAGAAGAAAGGACACTAATCTCAAAGACAAGTAAAGGTGGCTTGAGTGAAGTAGAGCAGCAGCTTTTTTGAAGATGCAGTTCTAAGCCAGATAAGGGTAGCAAGACATTGACTACCCGCAACATGACTGGTCAGTTTATTGTTTCAAGCTCTCTCTAGATAAGCTGCAGGAAAAGAAGAGAAAGACACTGGTCTCAATTTTGAAAGATAAAAATAATTCCCCAGTCTTTTTCATTGTCTTTGCTGGCATGGAATGGAGAAGAGAAAGCAAGTCTCCAGGCATGAGACAAGAAAACAGCCCCTCACTCTCTGTGTGACCCCAGGAGCATCATGTCTCATCCCTGGCTCTAGGTTCCTATCTGTAAGCCAGAGTTCTCTTGCCTGTTTCTCAGAATTTGCATTTAATATTAAGCACACAGAGACATGAAGGAAAATTGTCCTACCATTTTTATTTTCACTCTTTGCACTTAATGAACCCTCTACTCCCACCCCACCATTTGCTCATCTGTTACCAAGTAGAACTAGATTTGTACAAGTGTGAGGTACATTGTAGGAAGGGGGCACTTCCTCCCAGTTTCATTCACTTTGTGTGTGAAAGGATTTAATGAGGCCAGAGAGAGAAACTTTAGGGGCCTGGATACTCAAAAGCACAAAATATCCCCTCATATGGATCCTCCCTACAAAACCAAGAGTGATACCAAAGCATAAGTATAAGGAAAGTGATCAAAGTTGTCACTTTCTCCATGATGACTCCTTGAAAGCTGCTTTGAAATATCAAATCCTTCTCCCACAAAGACAAAGACTTTCTTTTTGTTCGCATCTGTGTTTGTGTTTGTTACATGTTTGAGCTTGGAGTGCCCATGCATGTGCACATATGTGCATATGTGTGTGTGTGTGTGTATACATGTGCACCTCTGCACTAAACCTATGAAGTTCCCTTGGAAGTTGCATATAGCTAATCCAAGTGGCAATTTGTCCTGCCAGTTGCTGTTAGGAGTAACAAGGTAATAAGCTACAAAAGACATAGCATAGTGCCTAATGTACTAGTAATCAAACGGTATCTGGTGTTGAAGGTGACCACGTTTCTCTGAGGAATCTTTCTTGATAGCAGTGTCATGCCTGCCATCTGCTTAACCTGAATTCTTAGCCCAGGGCAGGTGGAGAACCCTGTCTGAGGGATTACCAGGGAAAAGGATGGGGGCTGGGTGCTCAGCCCACTTCAATGTCTGTTCTGCCCAGTCGCAGAAAACACTCTATGCCTTCCATGTCAAAGGATTATAGGAAGGGCCAAGCAACAAAAGTACTCTGTTGGTTCAGCAGGATCACTGAGATTTGAGAGAGCCTTACTATGGTTGACACATTCAGCTTTTATGCCCAATTCATGTTCCCATTATCAATATTATCAGTAATATGGATGAAATAAAAATACTATCTTCAAATTGCCTGACGCATGAGTTCAAAGACACTAGCCTTTGTGAAAATTTTAGAAACGCCCTCTATCACTGCCACCATCATGGGTGAACACAGTCTAATAGGCACTGGGCTTCATAAGGGGATACTCCTTCTGTGGGAATAAACTGCCTTGCTCCCAGTTTGATGGAAGGATTCACCAGTGCATCAACCACAAAGGTGCGGTGCATCAACCACATAAACAGCAGTTCTTGTAGAAGCAGGAGTACAATTTTCTGAGCACTACAAAACCTTAACAATGCTTATTTGCTCTTATAATGTCATTGATACCACTAACTAAGTATCTGTAGAAAGTGTCGCAGACATAACCAGTCCCCTACTGTGGCAACTGGAGGATACAATGAACCTCAAACCTACCAGGTAAGTCTTCACTATTAAGCATAAATTCCTACAACAACAAAGCATTATTTCAATAAACTCCAATTTCTAATATTAGAAAAATGCATTTCAACAAACCACACAAATTCCAAGAGAAGGCTAGATGTATTGATCATGACCTTTAGGGACCCCAATATTGTGTGCTAAGGGTTTCAGAATCCAAGGGGTACCTGCACCAGTGACTCACCTCCACAGGTCTCTTGTATTCGTACCACATCACCAATTTGCAGGGAGAGCTGGAGGGCTCCACTGCCTTGGAAGTTGTATATGGCTGTGAAATGAAAGAGATATAATCAGGTCAGACAATTGATTCCATGCTCCTGATTCCAGAATCACTTTTCTTTCCTGTTCTTCTGGCCTGAGTCTATACCATGCCCATGCAGACCATTTGGAGTAAACAAAATAGGTATAGAAATCCATTGCCCGCCACAGATGTCAACATAGGCCCAGCATGGCTGCTAGAGACCTTTTCCCAGCACAAGTCCTACACTTTAGTCTAAGTGACAAGGAGGGTGTTCATATCATCTACCAAGTGTTCCCTCTTACTATATGACAGGCATCCTCTCATTTCAATCTCATAGCAACCTGTAAGGTATAAACTGTGATGCCATTTACATATGAGGAAAGAGAGGCCACAAACTTTTCATGTAGTTTATCTAGAGAGATGACCAAAGTCTTCAGGTTAGGAAGTGGCAGAAAAGTCAATATCTAATTTCCATATGCAACTGTTATGTCTATTTGCTCCTCCCTAATTACTCTACCCTGGTGACAACAGCCTAAAATGTCAATCTCTCTACTGTTCAATGACCACAACTTTCATCATCTAACCATGTCTTTCTCCCATACAGATCTAACCAACTTCTGTTCTTTCATCAAAAGATGCCTCCGCCTTCAGCCTTCACAAAAGAAAATCCAGTCTTCACCAAAGAAAATCCTTTAGGATGCAATCCTGCTATATCCATGAGATCCTCCCTGACTTCTCCAAGCCACAATGGCCATCCTAATGGTTGTTAGGACTTTATAATATAAGGAGTTAAGCACTTAAGGGTGTGCCCTGCACTTACAAGCAGGAGTTTGCTGTGAACATGCTTAGTCTCTTCTTGTGATAAACTTGGGCTTTATTCCAAGAGAATGGAAAATTGAAGTGATTCTCTTTATTTGCTAACAATAAATTGAGATACAAATTCATTCACTTAAAGTGTATAACTCATGTTTTGCAAATGGCAACGGGTCATCCTTTTATGGCTAAGTAGTATTTCATCACACACGTGTAATGGAATTAATTTCTTTCTTTTATTCTCCAGTTATCCACTGATGGGCATTTAGGTTATTCCCATATCTCTACTACTGTTAATATTGTTATGAACACAGAGATGCATATATCCTTGAAATTGCTACTTTTGTACTCTTCAGATAAATACCCAGAACAGAGTAACTAAATCATATGGTAGTTTTTATTTATTTATTTTTTTATGAATCCCCATAGTATTTTTCTTTTTTAATAAAGGGCATTGATTGATATTCCCAACCAAAGCATAAGCAGGTCCCCTCTACTCCACAACCTCACCAATGTTTGCCATTTTGTGCCTTTTTCATAAAAGCCATAACAGGTATGAAATGATATCTTGTTGTAGTTTTGGTTCGCATTGTCCTAATTATTAGTGATGCTGAACCTATTTTCATGTGCCTGTTGAGACTATTATCAGGGTATTATTATACTTGAGGGTATCATGTTAAATGAAATAAGTCAAGTAGAGAAAGACAAATACATATGGTTTTACTCATATGTACAATATAAACAAAGAAAGCAAATGAACAAACAAAGCAAAAACAAATTCTAAGATATAGAGAACAGACTGGTGATTACCAGAGAGGAAGAGAGATTAGAGGGTGTGTGAAATAGATGATAGAGTCAATTATATGGTAATAGATTAGGTGGTGATCATCACATATTGTATCCAGGTTTGAAATTATACTGCTGTAAACCTGAAATTAATGTTATAAACCAATGTTTCCTCAAAAAAAGGTAAAATGTATAATTAAAAGATTAGTCACAGAACTGTATAATCATTACTATGGTGAATTTTAGAATATTTTCACCAACTCAAAAAGTCATACCAGCTCCAAACAATTATTAATTTACATTTTTTAAAATATTTATTTATTTATGCCTAGAGAACTGGGGTACAGGCCAGAGGTGCAGGAATGGTGAGAAGATTTAGTGACAGAGTAGGGAGCAGAACAGGCAAATGAATGAAGTACACTGCTGAGGGGAGCAGTGGTTAGGTCAGGTGAGGTCTGCCCAGCCATGTAGATCACCTCTGGGGCAGGGATTGAACTCATGCTGAAGTGGTTTTAGCTTCTCAGTGCTGTGCTTTAACCTGATGTACCACCAGGGAGGGCCCTAATTTACATTTTATCTGTATAGATTTATCTTTTCTGGCCACTTCATGACTGGAAACTTATGTGGTCTTTTTGTGATTGGTTTCTTTCACTAGCATATTGTTTTCAAGATTCACCCATATTTTAATAACTATTAGTACTTGATTCCTATCTATGAACAACATTCCAAATATATCCCCATTTGGGCCCTCCTAGTGGCACAACAGGTTAAAGCATAGCATTATGTAGCTAGCTGAAGCCGCTTCAACATGAGTTTGATACCCGGCCAGGGAGGTGACCCAGCTAGTATAACAGACCTCTCCTGTCTCTCCTGCTGCTCCTCTCAGCAATGTATTTCAGTTGATCTTCCTGTTCTGCTCCCCACTCTGTCTCTGGTGAAATCTCTCGTTCCTGCACCTCTGGCTTATACCCCAGTGCTGTATGCATAAATAAATAAATCTCAAAAAAAGAATATTTCCCACCCTCCCCATTTTATGTTCATTAGTGAATGAAGGAGTAAAGGGTTTAAATTGAAGAAATTACTGAATTCTCATACTGTGCAGAGGACAGAGAATGGGTAGAGGGAAGAATAGTGACTGTGGAGAGGTCCATGAAGTCTTTGACTTATCTTTCTAATCTAGGTGATCCTTAAACAAAGTAGAGATTTGCTGCTGATGAATTTCACCAAACAAGGCTTAAGGCAAAAATTTTCCCAGCTACTCTTTATAGTCCCACCATTGACACAGTTCATTCCCTCTCTCTTTGGGCTCCAAATTCCTCATTTAGCAACAAAACAAAATACATTAAAAAAAAAAACTACTTCCTAGTGTAATAGCAGCAAAATTTTGGGAACTTCAAATAACTGACCACTAAAGAAACTGAAATATCTGAGAAAATGCTTCAAAATTAACATTATTCAACTTTGGGAAACAGTCAAAGACTCAAGGCGAACAAGAAAATGCTTAATCAAGAAAAAATCCAGTAAAACCTGGTAGAAATTTGTTACATTTTATCTAATCCTTACCCCTTCCTCTATTTTCCATCTAGGGAGTCTAGTCTTGACTGTGTATTCCATGTCAATGATGATGTGAGTTGCTAACGTGGGATGGCATAGAGTGGAGTTTATCCCATTATCTGCTTTGATTTGTCTGTGGGATCACTGTTGGACTACAGCCATAAACTTGCCTTTATTTCACTGACTTAGCGATCTCTTAGGATAGAGAAACCACTATACATAGGACATTAGTAAAAGACATTTAAAAGCAAAAGAGCTACTTGCTTCAATGTGGGGCAATTAATGTAAATTGGGCAAAAAATAATCCCACCAATAGGTCTGGGATGAACAATTAAGGAGTGAAGTGCTTTGAAGAATACCCACATTTATAAGGGAAAACCAGAGAATCTAGAAGTCCTAGCACAGGGTTAGATACATGCTGAAAAGGTGTGTAAAAACACTAAGCTCACAATTCTGATTGACTTTCAAGCTATATAAAGGTAAGGAGTGTATATTTAAGAGTTTTAAATGGCTTAGCTAAGCACTGAAAGTATGCCCTTAAATATATACATGGAATCCAGCTGCAAAGATGAAATTTATTTCTTTCAGTTCCATGCATTTCGAAGACTTCAATGGTCATATACAATAAATATTACAGATTTCACAAAAGTTAGTTTAGAAAAGTCACTAAACAAATCATTACCACCTATATTCAAGTAGTGACAACAGCCTAGCAAGGAGGGAGAAACTGACTTTCCAAAGCTGGCATATTGCAATATTCTAGAGTAGCTTTCAACACAAACGTATGAGGCATGTGAAGAAACAAGTATAGGGAAATAAAAAAAGAAATTAATAGAAGCTTTCTGAAGAAGAATACATTGGATTTATGAAAAAAAGACTCTAGTCAGTTGTCTTAAATATACTCAAATAACTAAAATAGAGGGCAAAAAAAAAAACTAAAGAAAACCAGGAGAATTACATCATCTCAGAAAATGGGGATTATCATTAAAAAGAGAGAGAAATTGTAAAAGAAACCAAATAGAAATTTTGGAACTGAAAAGTATAATTACAAATATGAAAAAATTCAATAGAGATTTTCAACAGCAAATTTGAGTGGGCAGAAGATACAATGACTTTGAAAATAGCTTACCTGAGATTATCCAAACTGAGTAACAGAAAAAAAGTATTAAAACTTAACAGATTGTAAATGGCCCACTTGGTAGTGGGACACTCTCAAGGACACAAGCTTCACATAACAGAAGTTCTTCAATGAGAGGAGATGGAAGACATGAATCTTTATGCCCCACAAGCTCAATGAAATCAAAGCAAGATAAATCCAGAAATCCACACCAAGATATAACAGTCAAATTTTAAAAAAACGAAGATTGAAAAAAAGTCATAAAAGAAGCAACTCATCATATACAAATAATTCCAATAAAATTAACAAATGATTTATCTTCAGAAAATTTGGAAACTAGAAAGCAGAGGGATGATATATTTGTGATAAAAACTGTCAGCCATGAGTTATTTATCTTACAAAATTATTCTTCAAAAAAAGTGAGCAATTAAAGTGCTAAAAACAGACAGTTCATCACTAGTAGACAACTGTAAAAACAAAGACAAAAAAAAATTTATATACTATGATAATGGGCATATAATGTATAAAAATATAATGTGTGATAGTAAACACAAGAGAAAAGATAGACTTGCACAGAAGCAGATATTTTGTGTACCACTAAATCTAAATCAGTAAGTTGGTAATAATGCAAACTATATTGTTATAAAAATGTAAGCTCTTAACTGTAAACCCCAAGTTAACCATAAAGAAAATATATAGAGAATATTACATGAGAAAGAATCAAAAGTGGAAACTAGAAAAAAGTTAAATACAAAAG